ATCTATTAATGCAAGCTAATAATAATCACTTGTGCCTCCCCATAGGCAGGGGAGTCAAACTTTCCAGTCCTGGCATTATTTATATAATCATATATGCTAAAGCATCCCTTCCCAGCCTCATGCAGCCCAGATTCAAAGTTTGGTGGTTAGGGGAGAAGGACTTCCACATCATCTGTAGCCCCCCCCACCCCTCCCCCGGCGCACAGATGATGGTTGTGAGCTCTGTGTGTCTCTGTGTGTGTGTGTACGTGCCATAAAAAGCCATGGAATGCTCCACCGAGACGCACACAGTGGAGCTGCATGAAGTCCTGTAGTGAACATGCAGCTAGGTTCTGCAGCACAGGAAACAACGCGGATTTAGATACGAAGCACATGCCCCCCTCCTCTTAAAAGTATCTGGGCAAATTCATCTCAGTGACTTTGAATTGCAAACAGCGATCAGAGCAGGAGCTGAGCTGAATCTGGTGTGGGCAGTGTGGGCATGGCTAGGGACTGATTTCAGTAGTTTAACTTCGAGGGGGAGAACAGACGCTCAGATATAACGTTTTTCAAAAATACCTCACAGGTACAATTTTTGGCAACATGTTTTCTAGTACACACACACACACACACACACACACGCACACCCTGTAATAGGAAAGCAACATCTCTATAATTGGCACTTGACATGCTGTTTGCGTTGGGCTGTGGTACACCAAGCACAGATTTCCTGTTGATGGAAACATTTATCATTGTGATTGCCCCAGAGTGGCAGGTGGTGTTATCAATTACCTCTTCTTAACCAATAATAATATTAGTATGGTAATATCTTTGCTCAAGTGAGAACCAATTAGCGGTCACTTGTCAGAGCACTAAAGACACAAAATCATGCTGAATTTAACTCAAGGGAGTTTAAAAAAAAAAAAAAAGTTGGGGTAGGAAAGGAACCAAAGGGAAGGAGAGAGGGAGAGAGGGGGGTCAGGGAGTAGGACAAACAAAAACTAAAAACAAAATAGGAATTTTGTGCGGGGGAGGGGATGAAAGGATTCCGAAGGCCTGTTTTGTGCGAAGGAGCTAGGGGAATGAACGCATTGTGAACCAAATGTCAAGTGCACCTCTGCAAGTCTGTCTGCTGTGAATCCAGAGCCACATATCTTCCATAAACCATGGCTGGGAAGTCAGAACCAACTATTCAACTCCTCTGGTCAAGTCAATCTTGCAGACAGGCTTTCTGCTTTATCTGAAGAAATGATACAAATTAATCCAAACACCTAATTATATGTTCCATTAATGTAAAATATACAGTATTAATTTGTAAATAATATCATTAAGCAGACAAAATAATAACGTGTCACCTCTTAAGATGAAAACAACATTGCAAGAGGAAAGACAATTAACAAATTAGATTTAATTATAGGGAGGAAAAGCAACTTTTGTTTTTTCAATGGTGCTTAGGTATTACAATATTTTAATAGACAGCAGTCATGTGATAAGTGTCCATGTTTGGTGTGCCTAGCCACAGTGGAGCCTGTACCTCTTCTGTGTTAATCTAGGCACAGCCAGAGAGACTGCTTCCTGATTCATCTGCGAAGACACTCCACAACATATTGTCACTTTGCAATATACTGATTTGAATAAAGCTTCCGAGGCCAACCCTTTCCTCAAAATTTACTACACAGGGTGACAATGGAAGGTTTTCCACATAAGCATTGGAAAGCAAGGGAGGGAGAGAACAGGTAAAGAGAAAGAAATGTGCTTTTGTTTTCCAATTTTACTTAAAAAAAAAACCCTCTCCCTGATTCCAATCTTTGAAAGGTACACTTCAGAATTCACTTGAGTATGGCCCTTCCACAATGAAGGGGATCTCTGTAGGTTTCTGCTATACACAATGCACCAGGTCCTTTCCTCCATGTCTTTGAATTCTTCTCAACGAAAATTCCAGCTAAGTCAGCCTCAGGGGAGTTAGGTAGCCTGCAAGCTCACCCAGGCTTCACCATGACTCTGCCATGGCAGACCACCCTAGGCTGATCCAACGGGGAGACCCGGCATCCATGCAAGCTAGCTGGAGACGTTGATCAGCAATGTCCACTTCTGCGTGAGCCCCACCTGCTTCACTCACGGCTTAAAAATTACTCCACAACTCTGGAATCTAAGGGAGTGCTCCATTCACAAGAAGGGCAAGGGCTAAATTCACCTCCATTGGAGGGACTAGGCCGATCCTGTCCAGAACTACGCATCACAAAAAATGCAAAGCGAGTCTCCCAATTAAACAGTCACACTGGAAAGGAAGACCTGGGCAAGCATTTTGGCTTGCTAAAGAAATCAGGAGCAGTGGGCAGCAAGAGGGTGGAAGAGGACTTCAAGCAACAAGAAAAAGGTTAACAGAGGCGTAAAGTCACCCAGTGAAGGGTTGATGGGGACCGAGTGGTTGTGGGATCCAGTGGGACCCCTCCTCCCTAAAGGCTTTAGACCTTTGTGGGAACCTGTTTTTTGTTTCTCCCTTAGTTTTTGCCAACAGGGGGTGGGGAGAGGGAGGGAGGGTAAAGCAAATCATAAAAGAAGTGCCTTTTGGCCAGGCACTGGAGACCCACGACCTGTGTTTTCTCATGACAACCTTCCCATCAAGTCGCTGCAACTTTTCTCTAACTCTTAATTGTTCTACAAATTTTGCAAAAAAACCAAAATCATTTCACACATCACACCTGCCCTCCAACATAACACTTCCATTTTTTCCTCTTCTCTTCCTTTCTGCTTTCTCTTGTTCAAGTTTTGACAGTAAAAGTTTTGCCCCATGATTGCCCCAAAGTCCTAGTTGTAAACTTTTTGTCATGAAAGGCCTCTTTGCACCAGGCACTTGTGTCCCCCCTCCCCAATCTGCAGTCCTTCAGATCTTCACCGCATGTATAGCGACACAGACATTTCACCCCCATAATTTAACAGTAAACATGCCATCTGTGTGCGTGAGTGTTAAAACGGAACTCGAGATTTGGAACATCTTTTATTTGCTCTTCTTTAATTTTTTTTCCATTTAAATGAGTACACCCTCCACCAAAAGAAAAACAAACCAACCTTAAGGAATTATTTTTTTTTCATAAGTAGCTCTTAGGGCTGTTTGGAGGCGACTCCAACCTCCTGTGCGCTTCGTTCTTCAGCACAGTTCTCTCGCACTTTCCGGAGCCCAAAAGCTGTTGCTTCGTGGAACTTTGACTAGATGCGAGAAGGCGAACGCAATGTGGGAACCGGAGTATAGACCCGAAAGGCAGCTTTTGGAATGCTCGGCAAGTTAGCCAGCCTTGGGTCCTGTGGAAGGGGCAGGGGATTCCATCAGTAGGCAGCCCGCTCCCCAGCCCTGCGGGAAGTTCGCGGGTCGCTGGGCGTTCGGGTTGGAGGGTCACTGCCTACTTTCCCACCCTCCACCCACGAAACAAGCCAGGGTAAACTCCGGGAGGCCATCTGAGCCGAAGTTTTGCACTCTTGGTCACTTGCACCGGCAAAAATAAGAAATTTAAGAAATAAAAAAGAGGCATGCTGGGGAGAAGGGCATTGGAGCTGCTGCGGCGAGGCCTGGGGCACATCCTGGTGGCAGCTCCGGGACGGAGGACGCACGCGGATGCGTGTGCTCGGTGTGGTGGGAGAGCGCGCGAGTGAGCGCGCGGGAGCGAGGCCGCGTTCGCGTGACCGCGGGCGGGGAGACCGGTGCGGGGAGCGCGCCGCGCCAGCTGGCCAGGGTGCCAGGCTGGCTTAGACGTGCGCGGCCACCTCACCTGCCCCCCAAGTCACCCCCGAAATCCCAACAACTCGCGGCCCGCTCGCCGGACTTTGGTGGACTTGGAACTTTGAGTCGCACTCGTTGCCCACTCTGCGGGCCCGGACAGTTGGCACTGGGGCCACAGAACCAGCGGGCACGGGAAAAGGGGGGAGGCACCGAAGTCCCGCTGCCCCCTCCCTCCCCTGGACTTAAGAAGCAGTCCGCCGTGGGGAGGCCCTGGCAGGCGGGCGCGGAGCCGTGGAGGCCCTAGTGGTGGCGGCAGGCGGGGCGGGCACTCAGAAGTCGGTGGGGACCGGAGGCGGGGGGGGGGGGGGGGGGGGGGCAGCAGAGGGGAGGAGAACCCAGGGAGGGGAGGAGCCGCGCGGCCCGCGCCGCTTCCGAACCGGAAAGTTGATCTTGCCGAAGTCCCGCCACCCTAGCGTGCGCACTCCGCTCCGGCCTCGAGCCTCTGAGCCTGGCGGGCCGCCGGAGGACCCCGCGAAGTGGACAAGAGCCGGGAGAGAAAGTCCGGAGACAGGGACACCTGAGCCGGAACGGGCCGGGCGAGCTGAGCGGCGCGGCGACCCGCTGCCGAGGAACATAGGCTGTCGGCCGGCCGACCCGGAGCGCAGGCGGTGCGACGCCCGATCGGCCGGAGCGAGACAAAGGCGCCGGGCCGGAGCCCTGCCCGCGGCCGCTCGCTCCGGGAGGGGCCGCCCGGCGGCGGCGGGGGGGGGGGGGCGCGGGCGACGGCGCAGGCACTCTATAAAGGGGCGAGCCCGGCGCGCCGGCGGAGACGGCGCCGCGCGGACGCCACCAAAGTTTGCAGCCTGCGCGGCGCGGAGGGTTCGTTGCCACGGTCCGCACCCCACCCCGGCCCGCCGAAGCAGCACCTGGGCAGTCGAGGAGCGCGGCGCCCGAGCGCGGTCGCCGGAGCCAGAGATGTGAGCGGTGTGGGGCAGCGCGCACCCAGGTCCGCAGGCGCCGCGGCCCCTCCTCGCCAGCTCGGCTGCTAATTGCGAGAGCGGCCTCATTTGCATAGGCCGCCGGAGTCCGCTGGAGGCCGGCCAATCGGCGCGGCCCTCCGCTAATGGACATGCATTATTCACCAGCCTAATTGCTCAGCCCCATGCGCGGCCCGCGCAGCCGCCGCCACCGCCCCGCGCCCCACGCCCCGCGCCCGCCCGGCTACCCCGCGCCCACCCCGCGCTGTCCCCGCCGGCCACCCCGCTGATGCCGCTGCCCCGCACGGGGCCGGAGCGCCGCTAGCAGCATGTCTCGGCGCAAGCAGGCCAAGCCCCAGCACCTCAAGTCGGACGAGGAGCTACCGCCGCAGGACGGGGCTTCAGAGCACGGTGAGGGCCGGGACCTCAGGGTGGCCCGGAGTTCTGGGGCGCCCACTCAGGTTGGGAAGCGCGGGCGGTGGGAGCGACTGAGCGCATCTTGGAGTGGGAGAAAGTTCCCTGGTTCCCGTGAGCGAGTGCTAGCTAGGAGTCCGATCCCTTGGCCAGTCTGGCCAACCGGTACTCCGTCGAAGCGCGCGGCGCAGAAGAGTTGCGGGCCAAGTAAACTTGGCTCTGCCGCTCCGATTTGAGCTGCGCGCCGACTGCGCTGAGGCCGGGCCGGCTCCAGGATGGACCGGAATCGGCTGGGCCGGAGGCGGAGGCCAGCACGCCGAGAGCGGGCGGGAGGTCGTGGGGGGGGGGGGGTCCGGTCCGCGCTGCCACCCTTAGCTGCTCCTGATCTCTGCGCCCCCACCCTGCTTCAGCGGGCCCGGAGCCTCCAGAAGCTCCGGGACCCTGGGCTAGCTTAGTACTGTCCCCAGGGCGGGCTCAGCAGCGGGGAACGCGCCCAGGGCTCACCTACCGCTGGACGCGGGCCCTGGAAGCCGCCGCCTGGCCAGCTTTGTTCGGCACCGCGCGTCCTGGTGCCCAGCCGGTGCTCGTCTGGAGCCTACCCGGGGCCCCAACGCCACCTCGGTGATCCCAGTCTCTGTTGCCTGTCCCCGATACCGCCAGGAGGCCGCCTCGGGTGACCCTTGGGCCGCGAACCCCGCGGTGTCCCAGAGCGTTGACAAATCCAATCATCCCTTTCGGAAGCAAGTGGGAAGTAAATGTCTCTTGGCCTTTCCTTAATGGCCGACTAGGGAATTGTGGGGCGCGAGCACAGCTGTTTCTTTCGGGGGCTAGTGCGTGCATGCGTTAGGACCTCAGCACGTTCCTGGCGGAATCCAAGTTTTCCCTTCGGCCTTTTCGTACTCTTTTTGGATACACCGAAATCGGGGGATGGAGATACCTTCAGTTACTTCGCTGGTAGCAACTTCCTCTTCGAACCATCTAAAAGTGCAGGGCAGGCGCTACGGAAGATGCGAATTTAGTGTGGTTGAACTTTGGCACCCTAAAGTTTATGGCACCCTGAATCCTTGAGCCCTGGGTGCCAGTTTTGGCGCTCCTTACCAGGGTCCCCAGGGCGCCAGCAAGGAGGCCGAGGAGGGGCGGCCGCATATGACACGTACCCCCCCCAACTAGTTCGAGGTGGAATAATTTATTCCTTAAAAGCCAACTTTTATGATCAACCTATTGTAAATTGTTTAGATGTAGATACTAAATAATCTTTTAACTAAGATTATACCACCTTCCAAAAAAATCAAACTCAAAACCCTAGCATATAGGCGGAATTTAAGGGTTTAACATACAAGCGTTAAAGTTTTACAAAGCATGCAAGTCGCAGTAGAAAGTGAGAAAATGCCCACAGCAGCCCAGGGATGAATTAAATCAAATGGGACTCGTTGGGTCTTTTTGTTGCTGTGAGGTGAGGGAGCCGGCAGCTCTGCAGCCAAGTCAGCCAAGATTAGAACAGGCGATATGCTAAAAAGAAACGCTTGCATATGTTGGGTAGATTAGGGACAAAGAATCTTTTTGTCATGGAAATGGATTTTTTTTGTTTTGTTTACTTCTTCACATAGAATTTCTCACACTTGGGTTGTTTTGTATTACCCTCAATGACTACATGATCAAATGAATGGATTTATTTCTGCCGAATGAGAAAGACAGTCTTTCCCTCAAAAGAACTACACTGCATCCCAGTGAGGAATTTTAAAGCTTCATTATTGCGGCTCCTGAATAGCTCAAAATCCGCTTTCACAGCCGCCCTAAAATGCAACAGTGTAAATACTTCTCCGCTTTGTAGGGTCGTTATCAAAATGTGCAATGTCTCCTTTTATTAAAGCATATTTTAATTAATAGAGTAAAACCTCATGTGTTTAACACTTAACAAGCTGAGGCACTGTTGTTCATTTTTAATTTCGCTTCAGAAATGTGAGTGTGGTAAAGTTAATCGTGTAAACACGTCGGAGGATATATAACCCGGACAGTGTTGAAAACCCCAGATAGTCAATTATTTACGAGTTCTCTTTTGAATTCTGCTCGCTGCTCTAATTTATTTCGAGACTCTCCCATATCCAGGTTTTCCATCCTTTCAGGACTGGCGTCTTTATCCAGGCTGTGTTTTGCACAGTGGTTCAGACTTCTGTTCCCGAGGTTGCCACAGTTCCTCATCATATTTTGCAACAGGCCAAAAATAGCCTGTCTGAGGCTGAGCCCTAGTAAAGCAAATGCGCTATTCGGGTTTGAAGGATAGTTCAGGCAAACTATTAAAACAAGTTCTTTCTGATTTAATTGTTCTGAAGCAGATTGTTCATGGAGCATAAAAGATACTCTGTTTCCTCTAAAGCCAAGGAATGCTCGTGCTGTCTTAACTCTGAGATAACCAAGAAAAGTAGTTTTAAAAGAAAAAGATAAATGGTTGTGTAAACTAAATTACTCCATTGTCATTTCAAATTTTTAATTCTTTTTAGGGGCACAGGAGACAAATGTGTGCTGCATGAAGTTCTAAGTGAGCTAAGTCTACTACAGTGTTTTAGAAATGGAGTAAATGATTCCTTTGTATCACTTTGGGTGTGACGTGTTAATTAAAGCACTAGGTCCATCCTGCAGTAAAATTAAAGGCTTTTGTTAATGCCATACAGGACAAATACCATATGTAAAAAAAAATGAGAATAGTGGAGAGCAAAGATACATAGTCATGTTGACTTCCAATAGAAACTCTACATTTTTATAGTTTATTTTTCAGGATTTGGTTTTTAGACAAACAATGGGAAGGAAAAAAAAAACAGCAATAGCTTTGGTTCTCTCCAGACCATAGCACTGAAGGAATGAATGACAGGTCTGAATGAAAACAAGCAATGCTTGCCTTGTGGAAAGTTCTGGAGTTACCTTGTGATAGCATTTTATTTTGAGTTACTGAGCCTTAAATCCCCAATAGAAACTGTCATTTTAAATTGCTTATTTGTGATTATTTCCCCTTTTAGAAATAAATGTGGTGCAGCTTTGGGGTTGAGTTAGATCTGTGCCACCGGTAATGATATCCTCTGAGCCAGCTCAACATTTTTGTTCTAAGAAAAACTCATTAAAACTTCCAGTGACAATGCCGCGTGGAAGCCCCACCACGAACTTTCAAGACGGCAGCCGTGTGCCGGCAAAAGGAAAAGAAAAGCAGCCCTAAAGATGCATTTCTCTGCCCTGGGAAAGTCTGTGTTTAAGGAAGAACAAAAGAATGTTGTAATTTAAAACAGTTTTGGGGGTGCATCTTCTTTGTGGCATCCACTACCTCGCGGTGTTTTTATTTCCTACCGGTGTACAGTTTATGGCGATCATAAAAATCTTTTCCAGTGTGGTGAGTCTGCGACCTAAGCACTAAGGCGTGGATTTCATAGACTGCTTAAGTTCAGGGAGAGAAAGCCACCCGTGCTCAGTGAAGGGATCTTTTTTTCTTTTATCTGTGTGTGCAGGGTTTGCCTCCAGCTCCCCCCACCCCCCCCCCCACCCCCAAGCCTCACATTTACAATTCAGCATACCAAAAGGGACAAAACAGAAGCCACTTTCTTACATCCACTGGCAGATTGTTTTCTCTGAAACATGAAAGGTGGAAAGTAAGTGAAGGGGGAGAGGGGAGGGGAGAGAATTTGCAAACATTCCTTTTTAAAGTAGCGCTCAAAAACTTAACCTGTTTAAAAATGCGCACTCCTAAAATGGGTGCCAATTAATTCCACTTTAAGAAGAGCTGGTTGTGAGGCAAGAGTTAGGGAATTCTTAGAAGGGCTTGCTCTAAACTTTTCAAAGCTAAGCGGAATCCAGGGTTTTTGGATGTGTTAGACCGCAGGGAAGGGAAAGGTGTGGAGGAGCAGCGGGAATTATTTAGCGTGCTGAGGATTTCTTTGTATCCAGAATGATGGGGGAAAGAGACAAAAGTGGGTCAGCTTTCATATTCAACTCTGCCACCCTTCTCCCGGTAGGCTTAAGAACATTTTCTTTGGGGATAGGGAATGCAGCAGACAGAGCCAAGATTTTTGTTCTGTGAACTGACCATCAGCTGGAATTTAGCATTCTTATGTGTAAGTGTTGGTACAAAGTCTCCTGTAAGTAAATTAAAAATCCTTTAGGCTGCTTGTGGGCTTTTCAGCATCTTTTAATACAGCGACATAGTTCTGAGTGCCATTTTTAAAAATAATACAATCAAGGAAGGGTTTCCCTTTTTCTGTTTTCCTTTACTGTTTTATTGGTTTCTCTTGTCCTCCTTGGTTTCTTGACTAGCTGCCAGTATATGAAACACCAGTGAATTTTAGACAATGTCATGAAGATGTGAGCTAATACTACTGCTGGTGGGACACTATTGTAATTACAATGTGTAATTACATGTACTGCACATTTCATATACAATCTATGTGAAAATCGAATTTTAGGAATTTCTTTAAGAAAAATGTTTTAAAAGTATTTTTTGGTTTTTTCTCTTGTAATTTCAACACAGTTATGATTTAAGATGCAGTTAATTGTATGACTGCCAAACAAGGCAAGGCATACTCCAGAAAGTGAAAATTACAGTTTTTTTTAAACAAAATAATGAGATGACCTTTATGCTTGAGACTAAGATTGATTTGTTTCTTAATTAAAGGAAGGGAGTTCTGGCCACCAGAGGAAGCTGATGGTACCCGAGCGTTTTCTCCTCTGAGGGTGGACCTTTTCTCTCACCTCAAGCCTAGTTTTGCCTGCTCTCTAGGAGGTTCAGCCCCTTTTGCATTCTTTGAAAGCCTGGTGACTTCATGGTATGGCTTGGAACCTTTTTAAAGTGTGATTCTAGGAAAGGTGGGTGGCCTAAAGCTGGCCGGCTTGCACCTTCTCTCCCTGAAGGTGAGTCCTTGGGAGTGCTGTAGCAAGCCTTTGCCTGCTTCGCCCTGCCAGGACGGCCACTAGATGTCAAGCTCATAATACAATTAGTGCGTGTGTGCTGTTGACCTTGG